CTTAAAAGCTTAAGCTTATAAGTGGAGAGCTCATCTAATGTATATTAAGACCTATCTTTTTTTACTCTTTATGGGATTGTTGCATACAGTCCTCTGGGTAGGGGGTTCTTTTCTTCAGGTGCAAAGATGGCCGAGAACTTGACTGAGAATGATATTCGAAAGGTTTGCGCGCATCATACTTGCACTTTTCTATGTCCACAGTGAATTTATGTTTGTAGCATTATGCTTAAAAACTATTGCTTAACATCAGGTTTCATGTTTTGATCATGTAGTTAAATCAAAACCAAATAAAAAAATTCACTAGAAGCATAATCTCTAACAATCAGATCACTACAACTCTTCTATAATTCTATTGATTATTAAAATGCTAAAAAAATATATATTAAATAAGAAGGGTAGAGTTTTAAAAATTTTATACCTATGATTGGTAATTTTTTCGAAGATAAAAGCTATAAAATAAATAAATAACAAAAAAATAAACTGTATAGCATAGATTTGAGCCACATCAGAGTTTAGGATGTGGTCAACTGAGTTCTATGAAGTATGGTTACTTTGAAAAATATGTCGTACCCGTACCAAGTACTTAACGGTGTATAGTACCTCGTATGGTACTTCTGCATACGTACTGGGTATATGAAATACGTACTCAAATTTTTTTCTTCTTAATTTTTTGCGTACCTAGACGTACTTAGTACATACCCAAGCCGTACCATACATCAATTAAAACAATATTTATTCTATTACAGAGATAAAACTCTTTTCACTAGACTTCTTTTTTATTTTTAGGTTTATACTTAGCATGATTTTAAAATTAAACTATGGTTTGTAAATTATTTAATATATTGATATTTAATTTTGATTTATACCTTTACTTTTAGCATTAAATGTTAATTATAGGTTGGATGTTAACAAATTAAACCATTTAATTGATTTTTGCATTACTCTAAATTAAAAATAAATATTTTTTTACAAGCGTACCAAGTAGTTTTTGTACTCTACTCTTTTTGGATTTTACCGTATCGACGTACTCGTATCATACCAATACCAATACTCGTACCCGTACCCGTGCTTCATCCTTCTGGCATTGCTCTCTCTAATTTGTAGGCCATTTGGGCTTCCTTTATTCAATACTAGTTGTGGGTTATGCATATACAAATATATGTAATTTAACAAAGAAGAAAATGAATGAAAACCGTTTGTAAAATTTTGAATATATAAATCAGTTTATGCTAAGTTCTTCCTATTAGCAAGTTATCAAATTGTAAAGGGCATTTTTGTAAAAGACAAAAATGTGACAACAGAGCACACATTCACACCAAGTCAATTATTTACTTTATACAATAGACTAGATACCTTTTCTTTCTTGTTGGCCAAAAATTAAAAAAAAAAAAAGACAAAAGGTCACGCCAAAATAAATTTGTGCTACACATCTTATTTTCTATCCTTTGTTATGGTGATTTTGCAATGGTGATGCTGAATATGTATTTTCTTCCATTTGTGTAGAATCTACCAAGGTTTCAACCAAAGAATCTGAAACATAACAAAAACATATTTGAACAAGTTAACGAAATGGCAAAAAGAAAAGGTTGCACCCCATCACAACTAGCATTAGCATGGGTCCATCACCAAGGAAATGATGTGTGTCCGATACCTGGTACCACAAAGATCGAAAACCTCAACAACAACATTGGAGCTTTGTCTGTAAAACTATCAGTAGAAGACATGGCTCAACTTGAATCCATTGCTTCAACGGATGTGGTAAAGGGTGATCGATATGGGTCAGTCTCTATGAATTTTGCTTGGAACTATACAGACACTCCACCTTTGTCTTCATGGAAAGCTTAGTGATAAATTCCAGTAGTCACATACATACCTTCCTTGTTTGTTCTTCAAATGATTTCTGTTTATGTCCTTTGGAGAGTTTCCTCAAATTCTTGTTTAGAATATATGTGTGTTTTGTCTAAAAGCCAGTATGTTGACTTAGGTTTCTTGAAAGTTCTGAATCATCATATGTCTTGGTTCAATAATTATGTTGGATTTAATGATAATAATAATTTTATAATTATTTACTTGTCTGGTTAATTTGGCCACAGAGACTCTACAATTTTGTTGTTTGAGTTGTTAGGTAATCGGGGAAGCTCATAAGTGCACAACAATAACGGCCCAATCCAACATGAACAAACTCTAGAGTCTAGAGACGCCACATCAAGGTCCAACATACATTATTTGAAACTTATACACTCTTAAAAGCTTAAGCTTATAAGTGGAGAGCTCATCTAATGTATATTAAGACCTATCTTTTTTTACTCTTTATCCGATGTGGGACTCTACCTTCACACAAGCTCCAACAACGTTCACCTTATGTGTGAACCAAACATTGGGTGTCTTCTTAGTCCCCCTTGAATCTTGATCTATCATCAGCAAATTCGTTATTGATCATACGCGCTCCACCTTAACCTTGATCTATAACTCTCCAACATCGAGTTCAACTTGGGCCACCCACACACACTCCATCGTGAGTCACCATATTCCATTTAAAGTCACCTTGTCACAGTCTAACTTCTACGTGCACTAGGAATTTTGCTCCATCAAGAGTCACCATGGAATCGATGCTTTAGGAGAGTTTGCCCATAGATTGCTTACCATTAGCTTTGATACCAATTGTTAAGGAATCGAAGAGCCCATAAGGGTTGTTAGGGAATCAAAGAGCCCATAAGAGTACCAACCCAATTCAACAGGGAGAAACTCCAGAGTCTAGAGACGCCACATCAAGGCCAATATACATTATTTGAAACTCATACTTACTTAAAAGTTTAAGCCTATAAGTGGAGGGCCCATTTAATGTATATTAAGACTCATCTTTTTTACTCTTTATCCGATGTGGGACTCTACCTTCACACTTGTTCCAGCATGATTTACAAAAAAGTAAATAAAACATTTTTCAAGTAAACCATTTTTAGTCACAAGGCTAAAAATAAATTGGTAAATTGTTTATTTATTTTTTTCTCATTTAAGTAGACACTACTTGACATATTTAAAAGACCCAAAAATGAATGCTAGAGAGAGGGAGAGAGACAATGAAGCACTTGAAGGTTGCTTCATTTGCTTTGATTTGGCAAGTCACCAATGATTGTTTATCGACTTTTCGATTTGGCAAGAGAGTGAGAGAGATAATAAAGCACTTGAACGCAATTTCGGAGATGTTGCGCCTTGAAGCACATTAGCCTGTTGTGACCTTCTATAGGGGCCGATGCTGGGACTATTTTAATTATCCGAATCGTTTATATTATAGTGTTAATGTATATATGGTATGTATTCCTAGATATATTAGGTATTGATTTCCTAGATATATTTGTATTTCCATAGTTAGGTTTCTTATAGGATACTCTTTCTCAGTCTATACATATAGGCCTTCTATTATATAGGATAAATTCATTGAATACAATACATATTATTCTCTCTCTCTCTCTCTCTCTCTCTCTCTCTATTATTCTAACATGGTATCAGAGTTAGGTTAAGTACCTAGTAATTTTGCTTCACTGGTGGACAGCAGCCTTGTCTTGATCGCCTGCGAGACCTTAATCTATTTCGTTGTCACATTTTCCTGTCAGTATCGCTTCATGGTGATCTCTTTCTTTGTCCACTAGTTTGTTCCTACCCCAAATATTTCCATCATATTTTTTTTTACTCGTAATCCTTTTTTTTTTTTTTTGTGTGAGTGTGCTTCTAGTCCACTCTGTCTTTCCCTCTACTTCAATCTCAAATAGGTTTCTATTTTCAAACCTATTTGAGTTTGTGGGGGTGGGGGGTATTATACCTATCTCATGGTGAACATGGTTATACACCATACAAACCACCTAAGCCACCTCCTCGGCGCACTCCCTAAGATGCCTACTTTGGTGCACTCTCTAAGCCATCTCATTGGCGCATTCCCTAAGCCGTCTCCTTAGCGCACTTCCAAAGCTGCCTCCTTTTGGCGCACTCTCTAAGCCGTCTCCATGGCGCACCACCAAAGTCTCCCCCTGGCACACTATCCAAGCCGTCCCTAGCACACTTAATCATATGTTGCCATCATCGTTCAGCACCATGTCATAAGTTATGTATGTGCCACACTTGCTCGTTCAACATCCAATCTCTACAACGGTTCGGCATGACCCCGTAAACTGTTCCAACATTGATTCGAATCTATTCCTACAATGGTCCGACATGACCTCAAATTATCCCAGCATTAGTTTCAGCCAGTTCCTACAACAGTCCGACATGACCATAAATTGTCTCTCTGCATTAGTTCTAGCCCCTAATTTATCTCAAGCACAGTCCGACATGACATAAACTGTTTCCCCATCATTAGTTCTGGCCTCTGATCTATCTCAAATGCCCTTGCGCTCTCCTTCAGACTTTGTAATCTATTTGCCTTTTATTTTATTTAGTTTTGCGTTAGGACTTTGCAATATATTTGCCTTTTATTTTATTTAGTTTTATTTCAAATTTTAGTTTCTCTCTCCAAACTCAAGATGTTTATACTCCTTGAGTTTAAAATAGATATATTTGTATCGCCATAGTTAGGTTTCTTGTAAGATACTCTTTCTCATAGTTATGTTTCTAGTAGGATACTCTTTCTCAAGCTATATATATAGGCCTTCTATTATATAAGATAAATTCATTGAATACAATACATATTATTGTCTCTCTCTCTCTCTCTCTCCTCTCTCCTATTCTATCAGATTCGTCGAGCAGAACATTTATTAAAAAATGAGGTTAATCAAACATTTGTAGCCACATAACAAAATCACATTAAAACAAAAACAAAAACAAATGGCAAAAATGATTTTGATAATAGACTCCCATGAAGGGCCACAAAAGACTGTTGTGACTAAAGGCACAACAATATCCCCAAGTCTCTTGAACAGTGTTTCATCTATTTCAATCTGGTAAGTCACCGACGACTCAAGTAGATCATTTATTAAAAAATGAGGTTAATCAAACATTTGTAGCCACATAACAAAATCACATTAAAACAAAAACAAAAACAAATGGCAAAAATGATTTTGATAATAGACTCCCATGAAGGGCCACAATAGACTGTTGTGACTAAAGGCACAACAATATCCCCAAGTCTCTTGAACAGTGTTTCATCTATTTTAATCTGGTAAGTCACCGACGACTCAAGTCTTCTTCGTTTCATTGCATTTTATGTTGTTCTATGTCACTTCCTTTTATTTTATTTTGTTTGAAGAAAATATCATGAGGTTTTTTAATACATTACAAGCAAAGTGGGCTTAAAAGACGGAAGCATTTGCGACAGCACACTTGTCGTCTCAAAAAGTAACTTTTTGCGACGGCACAATTTGCTGTCGCGAAAAAGGTGAGTTTTTGCGATGGCACAATTTGCTGTTGCAAAAAAATAGAGTATTTGCAACAGCAAAGATCACTGTCACGAAAAAAACAGAGTTTTTGCGACAATACCAGCTCTAGTCACAAAAAAAAAGTGATTTTTTTGTGACTATAATAGGTACCGTTACAAAAAAATAAAAAAAAGTTTAAAAGAAAATTGTGGCTTTGAGACGGCTTCATATATATACAGTCACAAAATGGTTTAAATAAATGCAATGGTATTTTTCTGTCGCAAAAAAAATTTAAAAAAAACGACGTCTTCTTACTCTTCTGATATAACATTTCTCTTTTCACCCATTTTGTCATCTTTCTATCTCTCTATCTCTGTCTCTCGCTCTCTCTCTCTCTCTCTCTCTCTCTCTCTTTCTCTCTCTTGTCTCTCTCCCTCCTCCACTGTGTTCGCCTTGCTCACTCTCTCCCTGCCCTCTTCTCTATTTACCAAGCTCCCTCTCGATTTATCGATCCACTGCAAGAAAATGCACTTTTAGCGACCACTTTGTCTCTCTTTCTCTCTCGCCACTACTCCACTATCGTTGTCACTCCACCACTACGATCAATACTACCACCGCCAGTATCAATACTACCACCACCAATCTTCTATCACCGCCATCACCACTCTACCACTGCCGCCACTAACTCTCTTCCACCACCACTACCACTGTGGCCACTTTACCACCACCACTATCAACTTTACACCACCACCATTACCACCACTGCTGCTACTCGACCACTAACGCCACCCCTGCCACCACATCACCACCACTACCACCATCACCTCTCCACTACTTCCACCACCACCACCACCAGTACCACTGCCCCACCATTACCATTACCACCGCCACCATTACCATTTTTCTTCCACCACCACTACCTTACTTTACGACTATCGTTGCTGCTACTCCACTTCCACTGCCGCTGCTCCATTACCACCACCACTCCTCCACTACGACCACTTGCACTCCAGCTCTACCAAACCCATTTAAACCCATTTATTAAATAGGTGAGTTTGAATCGATTTCGTTTAGTTTCAGTTTTCGAAAACTATTTTTCAAGTTTCAATCCTTACTTTTTTAATTTTTAGTGAACTTTTTTAATATTTTTATTATTTTTTAATTGATTAAAATATACTTTAATTGATTAAAATATTGAAAATTTTCACTAAAAATAAAAAAATACTAATTAAAAACTTAAAAAATAATTTTCAAAAATTGAAACAAATTTTTAGTACAAAACCTATTTTGACTCGTTCAGACCCACCCATTTGCTATGTCTGTAACAAAAAAAAAAAAAACTAACAAATTATTTCCGAAATTTCCCCCAAAATTTCTCCCTTTTTTCTTCTTCTCAGTTGCGCTCATCTCTCTCTCTTTCTCTCTCTCTCTCTCTTAATCGTTTTGTATTTTTTTCCTTTAATTTTCAGCCTCGTTTCCTCTCTCTCATTTGTTTCATAA